GAGGAATGAATTCTCTGTCGACAGTTCACTCCAAAGATTCAACATAAATATAAGACTTAAGATTTAACATAAAAAAATATAAGACTTAAGATTTAACATAAATATAAGACTTAAGATTTAACATAAATATAAGACTTAAGATTTAAGATAAATATAAGACTTAAGATTTAACATAAATATAAGACTTAAGCAATCGTGATTTAAATTAATTTTCAACTTGAAGAATAATGCATCTTAGAATACATTTTTCCTAGGCTGTGCTATAAGTAATTAAAAAATCAAAATAGAAGTGCAATATATAAAGATGTCACAGACTGACATGAAGGAGTACATACCGGATTCTCTATATTCGTAAGGAAACAAAGAAGCGTAGGTATTAAGTTTACATAGCCATTCTGAACATAATGTAATGGATATTTTCAGATTTTTCTAGTTTGGATTACATAAAATACATAAGTCTGAGGTGCTTTATTAATTTATCATTGTCAACTTGAGTAATTCTGTTGTAATAAAAAGAGACGAAAAATGCACCAAGCATTCATTTATAATATTCTTACTTAAATAGCACATAAGCTTAACTGAAGTAATATTGAAGTAATACGATGTACTGAAGAACTTGCACATACTATAACATTCACTTAATTCTTCAATAGTTTAATTTAAGAAACATAAAAGAAACAAAACATTTGATTTCAGTTTAGAAGCATGTGATAATAGAAGAAGACAATCAAAATGAAATGTAGGGAAAATAACTTGAAGACAGTTGAAATCTAACAATAGACTGTTAAGTTTGACTATATACAGGGAACGTACATGTAAAACATAAGTGCGTGACAAAAACATGTAATTTGTTAAAATGAGAGATAAAGAGAAAACGTAGATCAAGGAATTTATTTTGTCAAGCGCATTTGTCATAACCAGAGAGGAAACGCCAGAATCAGGAAAGAATTGCATAAAATTGCCAAGAGCCATCTAAATAGCACAACTGGTTGCAGGTTAAATAAATGAAAGTAATTTCAACAATGGCGTTTAATCTCTCATTCTATAGTAAGTAAAATAAAGGTGTCTGAAATCAGCTAATATTTTAAACGCATTTTGATTGACAAGTTTCATATAAATAAGCTAATTAATGCCCTAACTCTTTTACCAAGAATTACTCCTTCTACGTGATCAACACAGAGGACTAACATCGCGTGAGATCAGCATATAAGGTTATTTACTTTCTTTTTTACGACCTGATCCTTTTTAGCTGGTATTTTTATGGCGATTTTAGTTTGTCCTATTCAACTTTTACCTTCTACATTGTACTCTTTGATCATTTCATTGGTCTCATTCAAAGGTGAATGTGACTTTTAACGGAAATTAGGAATCGACAGTCAAATAATAGTGAATATTATAGGATTACGCGTTCTTTTTTCAGAATTTATCGATGTGTAAACTGAAAAAAGAAGTTTAATTCCTATACTTCCAATTACGAATTTTTAAAATTGTTAAGATTATTCATTTTGAGTCCTCCATACCATCCGTTATTTATGAACCGCGTAGGAATACTCATGACGTTAAGAAACATAAGTTACCGTGGTGAATATCGATAAAATTCAACTAAAACTGTCAAAACAGTCAGTAAAACTTATAAGACCCATCGAATGTTGTTTAAGTCTACAGATATCGTAAATAAGAGTATACTCCAGAATAAATCGTCCTTGACAATGGCCATGTTGACATTAACGACAACGCTCATAACGAAAGTTGCAGACCGAACACGCCCTAGATTCGCTCTGATTTGTTCAAAGATTGGGGAATAATATAGGTCTAGGATGTAAAAATATGAATTTGATGCTTATAAGGCAAGAGACTGAGGTACTTTTTCATTTGCTTCGTATTAGATCGAACGTCGATCGATTTTTATTTACACTCGTGATCCGACAGTGACATAAACATAATAATATTGTCTTTCGGTCCTCTTTTCGACAGTTTGTTTTATTTAATTTCAAGTTTCTTGTTATCATAATTTAGCTAAAACTGACTAGAATTAACTGTTTTCATTGTTTTTACAATAGCCTAGAGCTTGGTCAAGAAAGTAGTTCTAATTGAAAAATCTATCGATGTGTAAACTTTTTCTTGAAGTTGCTGTCGTCTAATCAAAACACAGGGAATCAATAAATAAAGTTAAGATTGGAATTATATGCGGATTATTTTTGGCTATAACTTAAGATATAATGTATGTGGTTTATCAAAGGAAGTAGATACAATTGAAAACAAAAAGAAATCATGATGCATACGTGGGAAAAGAACAATACATTTTTAAATATTTAAAAAGAATCTCCAGTTCAGTTTTGGACAGTTAATCAACGAATAGGGATGTTTCTATTCAGGACGTGAGCTGCCGCTGAATGTAAGGGCCGGACTCTGTTTTAAATGCAAATGTAATATTTTTTTTGTTAATTTGGGCGTTGGATGAATCATATATATACGGCTGAGTTCTCTGTTTAATTTGTCAGGTAACATCCTGAACCTTTACCTGCTTCACTATTGTCTTCGCATAATCGTATTCATTATTTAAATTCGTTCTTTCCAATCTTTCCCGCCTTTCCTTTTCCTTGTTTTCGCAAACCGTTTATCATAATGATAAACTCAAGGAACTCATAAATGTTTAAGGATTAATAATAAAAAAAAACATTTACTTTGTCTACATACTTCTTACATGCTGTCCTAACAAATCAATATCGTAAACATTTGCAACGTCGAAAGGTTTCAAGTTCATTTAAATGATAAATTCAGTTGCGTCTAAAATATTTGACTCTGAACTTGTTACATTTTTAGGTCACCTGAGTTACTCAGGTGACCTATTGCTATCCGTTTTTATCCGTCGTCGTGCGTCGTGTGTTGTTTGTCGTGCGTCGTGTGTTAACATTTGAACATTTTCAGCTTCTTCTCTGAAGCCGCTGCACCATTTTCAACCAAATTTGGGATAAAGCATTTATGGGTGATGGGGAACAAAAATTGTGAATTTCGTGATCCCTGCCCCCTGGGGCCTGAGGGGTGGGGCCAAAACCACTAAAATTAATGTAATCTTTAAAAATCATCTTCTTTACTCCTGGACATCAAGCAGGCAAACTGTTTGCATGATTGTAATCAGCAAGGGTGCCTCTACCAGAATTGTGAAATTTATGGCCCTGGGGTCAGGGGTTCTGGTGTTAGGGCGGGGCTAGATAAGTATGTAGTGAAAATGCATTATTTCTTTGAAAATCTTCTTCTCTGCTTCTGGGTATGAAATAAACCAACTATGTACATAGTTATAATGAGCAAGAGTGCCTCTACCAAAATTGTGAATTTTATGGCCCCAGGGTCAGGGGTTATGGTGTTAGGTGGGGCTCTATATTGAATATATAGTGAAAATACATGAATTCTTTGAAAATCTTTTTCTCTGCTCCTAGGTATTAAATAAACTATCTAGGTGCATAGTGATGATGAGCAAGAGAGCCTCTACCAAAATTGTGAATTTTATGGCCCTAGGGTCAGGGGTTCTGGTGTTAGGGCGGGGCTCTGTTGATTATTTTCTAGTGAAAAACATGAATTCTTTGAAAAATTTTTTCTCTGCTCCTAGGTATTAAGTAAACTAAGTACATAGTTATGATAAGCAAGAATGCCTGTTCCAAATTTGTGAATTTTATGGCCCCAGGGTCAGGGGTTCTGGTGTTAGGGCTGGGCTCTATTGTTCATTTAGTGAAAATACATTAAATCTTTGAAAATTTTCTTCTCTGCTCCTGGGTATTAAGCAGATGAACTACCTATATAGTTATGATGAGCAAGGTTCCTAATCTTCCATAATTGTGAATTTCAAGGCCCCAGGGTCAGGGGTACCATAGAGGGAGGGGGGCTGTACTTATATACTGAAAATGAATGATTTGCTTGAAATCTGCTCCTTGGTATTAATCAAATATTTTTGAAAAGCGGGGATGCCTTTTCAAGAATTGTGCAATGTGTGAAAGGATTAAGGGTCAGGGTTCATGTGTTGAAATATATTTTGTTCCTCTACCCTGCCTATGGGTATTAAGTAACCAAACTAAGCAACTGCTAAGTGTATAGTTATGATGATCAGTGGTGCCTCTTTCAAAATTTTGAATGCCATAGCATCTGGCTTAAAACATGAATCAAGTTCAATCACTGGAAAGTTGTTGCATAATGCTCAGGTGACCTATAAGGCCCTTGGGCCTCTTGTTACTGGTTTCTTAACTAGAAAAAATAATAGAATTTACCCCAGGTCCTCCAGTTGATTGGTATGAAGGAAAAAGTTTCGAGAATTGTCGATTCATGGAGGCATATTGCTAACAAAAATATTCTATTTGTTATATTTGTTGCACTTAAACAGCCTTATGTTTAAGCTTTAAGTTACAAAAAGTTTACTTCTTCAGTTGTTAGATTTTATATAGTGTAATGTATAGTAATCTCTAGTTTTGACAACATGTTCGCAGTCAAGAATAACCTGCGTAGTAGCAGAGTCTTCTTATCAAGTGCAAATTAATCAAATTCATGTTCATAGGTGTTAATCCTGTTGTTCAAATCCACAGACAGACAGAAGTTAACTTCAAGAGTCAACTTATTAATGCATTTTCCAGCTACCAGTAGCAGGACTATTCTCAGGGTCATCTGTAGTACTTGATTAAGTTAGTTTTTATATTGTTAATGAATAGTATTCAATCACAATTCACTCAAAGACACAGATCATAAATAGAGGAAAAATGTACCTATACATATCAGAGTTGGAATCAGGTTACATGAAGGAATGCAGAAATGTTGTCGATCCGTCGCGACGTGATTTGGTTGTCATTGTAATGTTTATCTAATTCAGGGGTTGCTTACTCTCTCATGGCACCTAATCCCACTTCTGATGTTTTATAGGTCTATTTTTGCTCTGTTCTTGATTTGTTTTGTTTCATTGGAAGGTTGTGTTTGAATATTGTTCTTTTTCTCCATATATTTTATGTATCTATTTACAGGTACATGGTCAACTATCAGGACAACTGCGTCACGCTGTCAAGTCCGGCTCCTGTCCCCCTAACATTTGTGTCTCTGTCTTTGATAACGGGTGTCAGAGCGACTTCACCTGCCCCAGGGGTGAGTATATTTTGTTTTTATGCGACTGGGTACTTATGTTTCTTTTTCTAACACATAATTTGTTCACGGTAGTTCAGTCGGTAGAACGCTTGCTCCGTGATCGGGAGGTCGTGAGTTCGAATCTCGGCTGCGACTGACCTAAGTCGATAGCAACTGTTTCTTTGCCATGCGCTCGGCACCTTGAAGTGAAATTTGCGGGTCCTTTGGATGAGACCTTAAAACCGAGGTCCTGTGTCACGTCAGGCGTAGGCACGATAAAAATCCCTCACTGCTCAATGGCCCTGATTGCTGAGTAAATGCCGAGTAAATTTCAGAATTGAAGCCCTTCACCGGCATTCGGTGACGTCTCCATATGTGTAAAACATTCTCGGGAGGGACGTTAAACAATATACAATCAATCAATCAATCTAACACATAATTTAAAAGTAAGCTTTTGGTAAGATAGTTACATATTCCTAGATGCCCAAATGTACAAACAAGTTACTAGGTTGTGTATTATAACATTACACTATCATCGTTAGAGTTGGAGGAAGAAGATAAATAAGTAAGGAAAAATTGTATATTATTTTTTTACTGAACTGTTTGGTTTGGTTTTTTATTTTTTCTTAAACAAAAAAGAAAAATAGAAGAGGTATGATTCTTCCTTATTTATCAAATACAGTCCATTACCTTTACAATGGGGCAAGCTTATCCAAACAAGACTAGAAGCTCCTGTCTTTACAACTTTAAGAACGGTTTATTCAAATGACTAAGGTTATTGCGTCAAGACTAACGTAGTAAATCTTTTGCGAAATATACCTGTTACATAAACAATATTTCGAGATGTTTTAGCAAGCTTATATTACATACGTTGTAAGAACAAAAAAGAAGTTTGAGTAAAAGTCGTTTAGTACGATCTTGTTGGTCAAATGCGCTACATACCTCATGTTCCTTTTTTTTAATCTAATATTTTTTTCGATTCTGGTGGATATTCTGAAATCCCAGAAATAGCGTATTTTATTTACTCCCAAACTGAAAGAGTACAAATTCATAATACGGATATAACGATTTATTAATATAGAGAAGAAATTTAACATGTTCCTGTCCCAGTAACTCCTTTTTTACCAAGGTTTTTAGTACAACTGCGACCACGTAGACGTAAATATGTACTTGAAAACCTTAATTACCTACTGACCTATACATATTTATATGACCCTTAACTCCCATTCATATTAATGATATTAATTATAAAACTATGTTTTGACAGCTTGCTCTGATTCCCTGTTCTTGTCTATTCCTTAATATTTTGAAAATTAGACAAAAAATAAATCTGAGAGATTCTATATTTGAACAAGAATTATTTTTTCTGTTTCACGTTTCCGAACACCCCTTAGGGCTATTATATTTCAGACATTGCACAATAGAATCTTACATAAGAGGTTAAAATTTTAAAGGAAGATGTTGGGGTATAACTTCACATTAAATAACTACATTTTAAAATCATTTTTTTTTCACAGAATTTGAATTTAGTATATTCATGTATTCTTTTACTGCAAAAAAAAAAAAAAAAAAAAAAAAAAAAAAAAATCTCCGAAAGATCCTTGATTGATGGGAATTTATGCATAACCATCTGAATAATATCCTGAATGGTACCTTAGAAAAATTACCATCTTGCTTTGGTTCCATTTTATTTCTGTTTTTATTTTTTTTTCCCGCGACAGAAATGAAATGCTGTCCAAACCAGTGTGGAAGACAAATGTGCATGCCACCAATCAGTTCTGAAGAACGTAAGTAGAGCATGCCACCAATCAGTTCTGAAGAACGTAAGTAGAATTCTTATATTGATAAACTACAGGTTAAAATGAAGACAAATGTGCATGCCACCGATAAGTTCTGAAGAACGTAAGTAGAATTCTTATATTGATAAACTACAGGTTAAAATGAAGACAAATGTGCATGCCACCGATAAGTTCTGAGGAACGTAAGTAGAATTCTTATATTGATAAACTACAGGTTAAAATGAAGACAAATGTGCATGCCACCGATAAGTTCTGAAGAACGTAAGTAGAATTCTTATATTGATAAACTACAGGTTAAAATGAAGACAAATGTGCATGCCACCAATAAGTTCTGAGGAACGTACGTAGAATTCATATACTGATAAACTACAGGTTAAAATGAAGACAAATGTGCATGCCACCAATAAGTTCTGAAGAACGTAAGTAGAATTCATATACTGATAAACTACAGGTTAAAATGAAGACAAATGTGCATGCCACCAATAAGTTCTGAAGAACGTAAGTAGAATTCTTATATTGATAAACTACAGGTTAAAATGAAGACAAATGTGCATGCCACCGATAAGTTCTGAAGAACGTAAGTAGAATTCATATACTGATAAACTACAGGTTAAAATGAAGACAAATGTGCATGCCACCGATAAGTTCTGAAGAACGTAAGTAGAATTCTTATATTGATAAACTACAGGTTAAAATGAAGACAAATGTGCATGCCACCGATAAGTTCTGAAGAACGTAAGTAGAATTCATATACTGATAAACTACAGGTTAAAATGAAGACAAATGTGCATGCCACCGATAAGTTCTGAAGAACGTAAGTAGAATTCTTATATTGATAAACTACTAGTTAAAATGAAGACAAATGTGCATGCCACCAATCAGTTCTGAAGAACGTAAGTAGAATTCATATACTGATAAACTACAGGTTAAAATGAAGACAAATGTGCATGCCACCAATAAGTTCTGAAGAACGTAAGTAGAATTCTAATATTGATAAACTACAGGTTAAAATGAAGACAAATGTGCATGCCACCAATAAGTTCTGAAGAACGTAAGTAGAATTCTTATATTGATAAACTACTAGTTAAAATGAAGACAAATGTGCATGCCACCAATCAGTTCTGAAGAACGTAAGTAGAATTCTTATACTGATAAACTATAGGTTAAAATGAAGACAAATGTGCATGCCACCAATAAGTTCTGAAGAACGTAAGTAGAATTCTTATACTGATAAACTATAGGTTAAAATGAAGACAAATGTGCATGCCACCAATCAGTTCTGAAGAACGTAAGTAGAATTCATATACTGATAAACTACAGGTTAAAATGAAGACAAATGTGCATGCCACCAATCAGTTCTGAAGAACGTAAGTAGAATTCATATACTGATAAACTACAGGTTAAAATGAAGACAAATGTGCATGCCACCAATCAGTTCTGAAGAACGTAAGTAGAATTCTTATACTGATAAACTACAGGTTAAAATGAAGACAAATGTGCATGCCACCAATCAGTTCTGAAGAACGTAAGTAGAATTCATATACTGATAAACTACAGGTTAAAATGAAGACAAATGTGCATGCCACCAATCAGTTCTGAAGAACGTAAGTAGAATTCTTATATACTGATAAACTACAGGTTAAAATGAAGACAAATGTGCATGCCACCAATCAGTTCTGAAGAACGTAAGTAGAATTCATATACTGATAAACTACAGGTTAAAATGAAGACAAATGTGCATGCCACCAATCAGTTCTGAAGAACGTAAGTAGAATTCTTATATTGATAAACTACAGGTTAAAATGAAGACAAATGTGCATGCCACCAATCAGTTCTGAAGAACGTAAGTAGTATTCATAGGCCGATAAACTACAGGTTAAAATGAAGACAAATGTGCATGCCACCAATAAGTTCTGAAGAACGTAAGTAGAATTCATATACTGATAAACTACAGGTTAAAATGAAGACAAATGTGCATGCCACCAATCAGTTCTGAAGAACGTAAGTAGAATTCTTATACTGATAAACTACAGGTTAAAATGAAGACAAATGTGCATGCCACCAATCAGTTCTGAAGAACGTAAGTAGAATTCTTATACTGATAAACTATAGGTTAAAATGAAGACAAATGTGCATGCCACCAATCAGTTCTGAAGAACGTAAGTAGAATTCATATACTGATAAACTACAGGTTAAAATGAAGACAAATGTGCATGCCACCAATCAGTTCTGAGGAACGTAAGTAGAATTCTTATATTGATAAACTATAGGTTAAAATGAAGACAAATGTGCATGCCACCAATCAGTTCTGAAGAACGTAAGTAGAATTCATATACTGATAAACTACAGGTTAAAATGAAGACAAATGTGCATGCCACCAATAAGTTCTGAAGAACGTAAGTAGAATTCTTATATTGATAAACTACAGGTTAAAATGAAGACAAATGTGCATGCCACCAATCAGTTCTGAAGAACGTAAGTAGAATTCTTATATTGATAAACTACAGGTTAAAATGAAGACACATGTGCATGCCACCGATAAGTTCTGAAGAACGTAAGTAGAATTCTTATACTGATAAACTACAGGTTAAAATGAAGACAAATGTGCATGCCACCGATAACTTCTGAAGAACGTAAGTAGAATTCTTATACTGATAAACTACAGGTTAAAATGAAGACAAATGTGCATGCCACCGATAAGTTCTGAAGAACGTAAGTAGAATTCTTATATTGATAAACTACAGGTTAAAATGAAGACAAATGTGCATGCCACCAATCAGTTCTGAAGAACGTAAGTAGAATTCTTATATTGATAAACTACAGGTTAAAATGAAGACAAATGTGCATGCCACCAATCAGTTCTGAGGAACGTAAGTAGAATTCTTATATTGATAAACTACAGGTTAAAATGAAGACAAATGTGCATGCCACCAATCAGTTCTGAGGAACGTAAGTAGAATTCTTATACTGATAAACTACAGGTTAAAATGAAGACAAATGTGCATGCCACCGATAAGTTCTGAAGAACGTAAGTAGAATTCTTATATTGATAAACTACAGGTTAAAATTAGTTTTAGAATATCTAATTACTGATTAATTCCAAATTATGCATGTTATATAGATTGTACTGTCGAATATAGTATGACGCTTATTACTTCTGAACCGAGTAACTCAATGTTGCTCAATAAGTAAACTACAAATAGGTTTTATAGAGCATGAGTATATTCCTATATGTAAATAAGTTAAATCTGATTCGTTGAGAAACTTTTGTTAACAAAGGACTATTTTCCTGGAAATGATGATACCACGCCTCCATCGTGGCAACAATCAATATTGTCTCGCCCTGACGACGAATGATATTCCAAATAGTAATAATGCTTGCGCAGAATTTATGTTAAATGTTATATTTTTTGTCTAAGGATTCAGTTATGATGTATGTAGGACTCCAAATTGGGACCGGACTCTAAAGTCCGATGGTCGAACTAACGTCTGATGGTATGCACCAAACTCCGATGGTCTGACACGCCAAAGTCCGATGATGCGAAAAACACTTGAGTTGCGTTTACGTCGTCAACGAGCTACTTCACCAAACTGCAATGCAGGCCACGCCATGCCGAGGTTCTAAATTAGTATAAATGATTATAATTATTCAAAAACTAACCCTTATCTCTCGAATAGTTGCGAGACTAAATCTGATGGCCCGAAAAATGCGTAACAACTATAACCTACATATCGTGGCTGGGTGCGAGACTAATCCTAATCACTCAACTATAAATAGTGTGCGAGGAATATCCCTATATATCTCCGGGGGGTGCAAAGCAAGGACAAACCCTAATCAGTCGAGTGGTGTGCGAGGACTAATCCTCTAATCAGTCGAGTGGTGTGCGAGGACTAATCCTCTAATCAGTCGAGTGGTGTGCGAGGACTAATCCTCTAAACAGTCGAGTGGTGTGCGAGGACTAATCCTAATATCTCTGGAAGGTGCAAGCTATAAGCAGAATCAATAAAAGTGTATGCCAGTACAGGTTAAGAAATGATGGCTTTTGAATACAGAACAACGGCTTTAAGGATTCATGTCGGGTTATTGTGAAGTCATAAATGTTTAATGTTTCTCTGCAGCAGAGAATTTTGGTGTATCAGACCATCGCAATTTAGTCTCATAGGAAACGAGCCATCAGACCTTCGCGCGACTATTGTTCGACAACAAATCATCAGGATTTGGCAAGACCCTCAGACTTTGGCTTCACCATCGGAGTTTGGATTCTTATACATGTACATAAATATATATACCATTGCTCTGCCTCGGATTCAATGATTTTTTCTGGGGGTAAAAACTCAATATTACATTACCCTCATTTACATGCAGTATTTATATAAAATGTACAATAACAATATATTGCATAAAATTATATTAGTTTTACACAATGCACTATCATTAATTAAACACTGTCATAAATCTAAATTTTATGATATAAATTTATTCTGAACAGGTAGTCTTATTCACATGTCTTCATATTTATCCATTTACTCCATTCCTCAAAATCTTAAAAAAGAATACACATAATTTAGTTTTCGTTTCCTCTAAAATTAGTTTTTAACACTAGGAATAAAATGTGTTTTTTCTCAAAATTAAAATGGGATTATATTTTATGATACTTTCCAAATAATATAAGGATGGCAAATGCAGAAAGTGAAACTATATGTCTGTTTGCCAGACAGTAAAGGTATACAGGGAGAAATGACAAATTAGGTCAGTGTGTTTGTCCTCTGAAAAACAACCCCATTAAACCAAGTTTTAAAAAAATATATCATACCAGAATATTATGAATACATTTTCGGATCTGAAGAAGAGTAACATAGGCAGTCCTTGCTTAAAAAATGAATTAAGGTCTTAAAAAAATGTTATGTCAGAACATTAAAGTTGCCTTTCGGGATAAGAAAAGGATTTTCACTGGAAGTGTCTTGATATGTAATGACTCGTATTTCCTTTTATTCTAATTAGTTGTATGTTATGACTTTACGTTTCATTAAATCCCCATAAGTAATATTTTTCACAAAGATTAAATCGCTTACCGCGTTTGTGATTAGTTTGCAGGAGAAACTACTTCGATCCTCTATGGCATCTGATCCTACCCCTGATATTTCAGGGGTCTGGTTTTGCTCTGCCTCTGACTCGTATTGTTTGCATTCAATTTTTGAGCTTGATTGATTGTTTTTTTTTTTTACATCCATTTGAGAACTTTTCGCCGTTGAGCTTGAAAACTGTTCGTAATATCCATATATTTCTGTCATGTGCTCATTGTCATTTATATTTTATTCTACAGGAAGAAGCAAGCAGAAGCTCCACGTGTCCTTTGTCCAGGAGACCACTACAGCCGCTGACCGGTGTTACTATAACGGTCAATGGTACAACCCCGGACAACAGTTGGTCAGCAGAGACGGGGCGCACTGTACCTGTATCAACAGGGAGCGGATCTCATGTACACGCCCCAACGCTGGGGGAAACAACAACATGAACGTTAATAATCAAGGTAAAGTGTGAATGCTTAGTATATAGGATATAAATCTTTAACGTATATATGGTTAATATATAACAGCTTCTCTTATTAGAATGAATACTTCTATGTTTTAATTCTATTAATTGTTTTTTTTTACCACCATGAAAATATGCAAGGAAAAATGCTATAATTATCAGAAATTAAAGCGTTAATTACACCTCCACATGCACACAAGCACAGAGAAGGAGAGAAATAGAGAGAGAGAGGGGGGAGAGAGAGAGAGAGAGAGAGAGAGAGAGAGAAAGAGAGAGAGAGAGAAATGTTGACCGAAATGGCAATAAGTTGATTACTTTTTTCTCTTATTCTCATTAAAGCATTGAAGAGAATATTCGTACCATACATTTCCTATGTTACTAGTACGTTTACCTGGGATATGCATGCACCTTCTGAATTAATGTACTTACAAAATCAATAATTCTATACCTTACAATAAACAAGACAAAATTACAGGTGATCGCAAATCATAATGAGATATTGCTAAAAACAGGAATTTTGTACGATTCAGAGTTAAATTAAATTTCAATATTTTCTTACAGGACAATCAAACTCAATGCAGTCCAATTTTCATATGGCCAAAAGCGGCCAGCAGGCACTAGGAGGTTTTACAACTCCGGGTTACCAGTGGAAACCCCCAACATCACAACCTGTTCAAGTCTTTATACAGGATATGAATAATATCCCAGGACAATCGCAATATGGACTGAATCCTGCAATGAACCGCTACCACAACCTCGGAGAAATGCCTGGGGCAGCGACTCCGGCATTCTTTCAAAAAAGCCACGTAAAAGAAGCACAGTCTCAAAGTGTTATCACCGAACAGAACGTGAATGATCCAGGTAATAGGCAGCAGATGCTGTATGATAAAAATTATCCCACTTTTGATAAGTCAGCCTCTTCACATTCTGGCTCTCTAAAAACCGAGACGAGGAGTCAATTCGGGTTGTACGAACCATACTTGAATGGGAATGTAAACTTTGGTCTACCTTCCAAGAATGAAGGAAACATTCTACATGGACCAATTACTACAGAGATAAGTATTGTAAAGGATTCTGGCCTGATTGGAATGCGGCAAAACATTCAGGGAGTAACCAAAAGCAATCAGGGTTACACCTCAACAACAGCATCATGGCTAAAAAACACGGGCGTCAGTAAAAATGTTATAGAGAGCTTGGAATTCGGTGTACTAGAGCGCAATGCTGGATTTATCTCACAACAAGAAAACTCCATACAAAGTTCAATGCAAAACACAGGATATGCTGATATAGTTGATCGCAGCTCGGCCCTTTATTCAGACCAGATAAATTCATTCAATCAGGCTAATCCTAACTCCGCATTCATGGCAAATGCTGATTTTGTAAATGGGAACCATCAAAGACAAAAAAATAACCAGAACCAGTTCCAGCCGCGTAATCCGGAATTTCAGCAACAGATAGGCATGCCACCAGTAGCTCCAGTACAGTCTTCGTATCAACAAAGCGGAAACCAGGAATCTTACCAACATTTTAATAATGGACAAAACCTAAACAAGCAAATAAAGAGTATAAACCAACTTAAAAGTTCTCAAAAAGTAAATTCACAAGCTTCTTTTGGTTCCTTTGCTCCGATTACCAATGAGAGAAAGAAAAATACTGAACAAATGTATCATAACGCTAATCCTAACCTTAGTATTCAACAGCAGTCAAATCAGAGGCATAATCAAAACTATCCTATCTTTGACAACTCTGGACAAATAAACCCAGAGGGATTTAACAACCATAATTCTTGGATCCCACAACAAGCGCATCCAATAGATCAAAATAAAAACAACAATTTTGGAACACAACCACAAGTAAATCCAATAAATGGTAATCCAATAGATCAAAACAAAAATAATAATTTTGGAATACAACCACGAGCCAATCCAATAAATGGGCATCATTACGATAATTCTAGAATTTCACAACAAAGCAACGAACAGTAAATTACCGGAATGCAAGTAGCAAACAATAATAATGATCCAAATCTCGGTATTCCTCCTCAAACGTTTAATAATCAACATAGCAGTTTTATTAATAGCAATCTTAACGGAAACAACCCCATTGATCAGACAAGTAATATAAACCAAAATTACCAACCAAAAATTCCCATGAATCAAGGCAATTACCCACAAACAAGCATCGCCGAGAATCCTTCAGAGCGAAGAAGCAACGTGATCCAGGTGCAGAATCAGAAACCATATCTAATACAGGGTGGTCATCAAAAGGAGCAGAACAAACACACTCAGCTAAAAAACACACAGAGTCAATATGGAGATAATGCAGCCTTCAATGCTGATAATTTACTACTTAATCAAGAAAACACAAACCGGGGTTTTGATACTTTAGATTCGAAAAATAACTTAAACTTAAAAAGTTTCAGTTTACAAGCAAACACTGGAAATGAAGACAGGGCGAAAAAATTCAATTACAATAACGGTCAACCTATCAATACTTACAAAACAATCAGCTTTGACAGCATGCATAGTGAGACCGACTTGAGATTATTCAACCGACAGCAATCCCGCGTAACTCCATTTTCTTTAAAAGCAGAATCGGTTAAAGTCGAAAAATCTATTAAAAGTCCTGGAGGACATCAATTTAGTCCACAAACGGAGGGACCGACAACAATTTTCCCAGAAACGGATAAAATAAAAATCAGAACTGATTCTCCGACAGCGTTGGAGGAAATCATTATCGAGACCACGTTACCCCCTTCAACATCAACCAAGAGTTTCATACAGTTCCTCAAAGAGGTTATAGAACAGCGAGAGATGGTGAAAAGTAAAACAAAAGCTTCTCCAGCAGAGAGTGTGTACAATAAAGAAATGGTAAAGAGTAAGAAAGAAGTCCAGCCACCGGCAAATCCAATGTACGGTACAAAAGAGCTCCAAAAATCGGTATTGAAGAAAACGTCGTCGTCGACAAGAACAGCTGAAACCTCAACACCACCAACAACAAAAACAATGGAGACAACGACTGCTTCCCCTTCTAATCCTGGCATCACAACCGTTTCCTCTATTAATTCTACCCAAAAAATTATTCCAACGACCATCATAAAGGCAAAGGAGGTTACCAAAACTTCTTCGAAGAGTATTCCGACTTCGATTGATAAGGTAACAGAGATTAAAGAAACTTCACCAAGATATAATAATTCTGCCAAGTCCCGTACATTGAAATCTATTTTAGCTGAAATAGACAAACAAACCACTATTCGAATTAAAGTTGTACCGATACAAAATGCCACCCCAGATACACGTCAGACGTACGTCGTCTACATGAGTCCGAGACCTAAAACATCTAGAACTTCTACATCCACAATTCCTACCACGACATTTTCCTTCATTAATAATCTCCATGAACAACTTAACGAATCCAAAGACAACTCAACAAGGTCTGAACCAAAAGAGCCGCGCATACATATTATGACCGAATCGACTACCCTCCCAGTTACAACGATGATAGAAAAACCGATGTCTGAAAGTCCGGGTCAGAAAAGTCAAGGGACGACGAATTCTCACTTCTCTCATTTTCAGTTTACAGACACCGCAACACAGAGAATGGATGTTGTTGATCAGTCTAGGGACATTCCGATAAACAATCCTTCTACTACGATGTCGAATTTAATAGACAGTACAACAAGTCAGCAACTGTACCAAGAAACACCCATTGTTTATACAAGTAATTCTAATGCTCAAAACATTGCATCAATGGCATCTCAATCTCATAAAGCTCAAGAAAAACATCATCCACAAATAAGGACTTCTGATACATTTGTTCCAAATGTGTTACCTGAGAATGCAACGTTCTATCAAAAGATAGTGTTCATGAGGCGTCAGAAAGAGGCACGAGAGGATCCCTTAAAAGCTCTTATGGACCATGGAAGTCAAACCAATATGTTACACTTAATAAACATGCTTCCGAAAAACAACTCCAGTCCGATGGCTGCTAAAAATGTTGCTGAGTTTTACACTGTGAAGGTTCGGCCTCGACCTAAACCCACCGCGGCCAGAGCTAGCATTACCACCCCAAGTCCAGCCAAGAAAGAGAGAACACAAAACAACTCACCAGCAACAGAGACACGACCTTCTCAACAAAGAGTTAATATGAGAATGGGAGGGAATGGGAATGTTGTACAAAGCAGATCAAACAGAGCAAACGTGATAAGAAACAATCGCAACAATAACGTACATCAATCTCAAACTCAAGCAAGACAGAGAAATCTAAACAACAAAAAGCCACCGACAAATGCAAAAAATACGGCCTCAAATAAAAACTTGAAGCAGAAGAAAAACAGTAAGCAATGTGTATATTTAGGAAAGATTTATAAGATTAATCAAAGATTTAGGAATGATAAAGGCCAACGATGTAGATGTCGCAAAGGAGGGAAAGTTAAATGTAGACGATAAAGAATCAACGTACTGAGAGTACTGATAAAGTTTTGAAGCGCGTGGTGGAAAATCAATTGTACTTGATGGTTTTAAATTTTTCGTTTTATTTCTATTTGTTGAGAATATTCCATGCATTCTGTTGATACTGGTTCCATGGTATTAACTTTGAATAAAATTTTTACTGATTTTTAACATGAGTTTTTATTTTTCAAACAGCACTTTAGGTAATGATTTATTTTGGGAAGTTTCTAGTATGCCGGTTCCCAGAATCACGCAATTGCGCATGAGCAGTTATTTCCCTTGCCATTGCTATGCAGAATGTAAACAAACCGCAATTTCCCACTCGCTTCAACAAAACGCATCCGATCAAGTGATTAAGGTTAGGTTATAAAGTTTTTAAAATTGGGGTTGTTAAATAAATTCACGCTGAAATCTTTCTGACTTTGAGGTTCTTCGTATAATTTTTGCGTTTTGTGACCAAAAACTGAATCGGCCTAATGTCGAATTGTACCAATATAGGTATACATCGATCTCCATCACTTTGCCTTTGGGTTAGGCCTAGGTCATGAAATTTTTTTGCTTACAAAGAACAGGAATTTTTATGAACGAAATTTCGGATGAATCAATCTAGGTCTAATGTCCAAACATGACCGACTTTGAGTGCTAAGTTTAGGCAAGTTATTGTAAAAGCGACTTACCGTTTACTGCATCTCGACATCCTGACCTCATGAAAGTAATATCAAAATTCAGAATATATTTTTCCTTTCAAATCGATGATGATGCACAATTTGATCCATCAATGACTAGTAATTAGCTAACATTTGTTTAATCCATGTATTTTTCACAAAAATCTCGCAATTTCGATAACATTGCACTTTGAATCCTATCAGACATTTCTTCATTACGTCAAAACACAAGTGAGGCATCTCATGAATATTTATGAGATTACGTCAAAAATTGATCATGTGATCACATTCCTAAACAAAGCAAGATGGAGTTTTACAACCTAAACAAGTACGTTATTTTACGAAATCTTTTAATTCTAATTTTAAAAACTGTTTAAAAACCAGTTTTTTAACCCCAATTTTTCACAAGGAATACGAATTTGAGGTCAATTTTACATTTTGTGGCTTATTTTTTGATTTTGTCCATCGCTCACGCGATCCTCTATATATTGTACAACGCCTTCGGCGGCACCTATTTTAGCGCCATATTTATTGGGACCGGTATAGTAGAACGGCGGCACCTATTTTAGCGCCATATTTATAGGGACCGGTATACTAGAAGTGTTCCTTTATAAAAATACCTTTTGCCTGCTTAAAATGAATTGCATGCGGATATAAAACAGCTTTTTGACAAAAAAAATTAATTGCAACTGTTCTGTGCAAAAGACAAAGAAAAAAGATTTTTTATTAATAAGATTAAAAAACAACAACAGAGAACTGTTTTGTTTACTAACATGATTATTTTTTTTGGTACTATTATTTTACAGATATGTATAGAGCCCTTTGAATCATAAGCATAAAACATAAAAACAAATCAGTAATGTTATATCAAGAGTCTAGTTTTTACCAAGAAGAGGATAAAAAGGTATCTTGGAAGATATATGTCTGAAATTCCACCACACCAGGCCTGGAGACCCTAAACTGAGAGAAAACTTAAGTTAAAATTTTAACTTTGTTATCAAAGAACAAAATTCACTTCTGGCCTTTTTTGGCCCTGTGAATTTCTGAAAAACTAAAACTGCTTGATTTTAGTTAACAATGCATTAAATATCATTCAGACCTTTGGGGATTGCATATCTATTGAAAATGACGTAGTTTTCTGGCTAGTCAATGCACTAAATCAATGTAATAAATCGGTATATCTTCAAGGTCGTTTTATGAATAAAGTGAGCCGAACTTTTTATTTTAAAATGTATATTGATTTGAAATTTTAATTTAAGACTATTCTCAGTTCATGATCATGATCATAGAGATTATCACCAATATTATACAATCATTCAAATAAATGTCATAATCAGTAATTGATTTAGAATGCTTGCCGAGACAGGGTTATGTTCCATTAAACAATATATAGATGAAAACAAGAAAAAAAAAATGTAGGAATTCATTTATCTTCAGTTAAGTGGTAAAGTTCTGCCCTCATAAATTTAACTGATAAGGATTTGGTCTTCGTTTTTAGGGTAGCCTCAGAAAAATCCACAATTTCCACGCAGAACAAAAGGCTCTCTTTAAAGAAATATCAACTCTCTGTAATTAACTTTTAGAAACGGTACATTGCTTGGAAAAAATCGATTCAGATATCGAAGATCTGTTGTGTCAGATCTACATATAATGATTTTAAATGGAGCATTTTTAAAGAGATAAACAGCACGCATGTGAGTTAAGGCTATATATAGTGGTTTCTATGCAAAATATCTAATTAAATTCCATAATTACTCTACCTTCCGCACAGAAAATGCTATGACTTGTTTTATAATACACTCTTAGTACCCACGACATATAGCCAATACACATTATGACGTCATATTATGACGTCATACCTGTACTACAGAAGTTTATAAGAAACATCAACAAAATCGCTGTTTCCATGGAAATAAGGGCATACCTTTTTTTTGTTTTACAAAAACAAGGTATAAAAAGACGCAGGATATTCCAAGGATTTACGATATTTTTGCTGCACAAATGCCGGCACTGGAATTGTTTAGTTTTTACTATTCCTGCAGTTTTAAAAGTTTAAACAGGGTAAAAATTCACAGTCCAAAAGTGTAAGTTTTCTAAAATTTTTATCAATGAAAATTATTCGAGAAAGTGCATAGGATTTGTGCAGCAATTTTATTAATTTTAAGAATATTCTCCTTAATGTTATACATTATTTATTTTAAATTAGATTTGTTTTCAAAGATATGCCCTTGCGCCGAAAAAGTGATTTTGTTGATGTAATTTAATACTATGAATGGTGAGAGAACAAAATGACGTCATAATATGACGTCACAAAATGCGTAAATTTCCTCATATTCAAAACCAGCAAATTTTTAAAGCTGTTTTCATATATTTTACATAGAGAGCAACCTCTGATCTAAATTGAGCAACAAGTTAATGGCAAAACTGTTTCTGAAGATTACAAGACATTTTTTTTAGATCAAAGGGTGTGCTCGTATTATTTTTCTTCTCTGAACGTACTCAAATGTACAATTTGACAACAAAATTCAAGAACATTACAAATCAATAAAGCCTGTTTGTAAGAAGACCCGGAGTTATAGGAATTTTGTTCAATAGGAAATGAAAGTACTAAGTCTAATTTATTTTGATGTTTAAACTGGAACACAAAGTGTTAGTTAATAAATTGGTATTTCTTCAGGGCCGTTTTATGCATAAAGTGAACCGAGTTCTTTATTTTAAAATTTATATTGAATTGCAATTTTAACTTAAGACTATTCTCAGTTATTGATGTTGGGACTTGAACTAATAGAGATTATCACCAATACTATACAATCATTGTCAGAATCATTAATTTTTTTAAAAGGATATATAAACAATGTATGGATAAAAACAAGAAACAATGCAGGAGTTAATTCATCTTCAGTGAAGTGGTAAAGTTCTACTCTCATAAATTTTACTGAGCAGGATTTGGTCTTCGTTTTTAGGGTGGCGTCAGAAAAATCCAAAATTTCCACTTAAAACAAATAGCTCTTTGTAATTAATTTTTATAAAACGGTACATTGCTTGAAAAAAAAAATCGATTCAGATACAAATATCTGTAGTGACAGATCTACATAAAATGTTATTAAATGGAGGATTTTTAAACAGATAAACAGCACATAAACGATTGCATTGATAGTACACAGGAAAGCAAAACAAGTAATTATCCTATCCTTGGCTGATCATTTATTGAAATTGAATTCATTGATTTCCATTTAATATTCAGTTTTCTTTTTACTTATTGCAAAAAAAATACGACAACGACAAACAACAAACAGACTTTTAAACAAACCGTTTATTTTGTCAGATAACAGTAGATGAAGTTTTATGACTTCCGTTTCCTTTTTTTTTTTTTACATCTTTTGAATTAAAAGAAGGAGTAGTCTTTACAGTCTTTATTGTAAATAAAATCCATTAATCTGAAAAAAAAATGGTTTAATCTTCTGTTAATGTCTCAAGAAAGTAACTGTTTTTTTTCTGTATTTTTATCTTAACTTTTACTTCATACTTTAGTTCCATAAATCACTTTACAGATTGGTAATTGTATAACGTTTCAGGGGAATTTTCTGAAGTTGTTTTTTTTTTTTTTTGAAAATCCTTTAAGTTCCCAAAAATTCAGTTATAGATAATTGTGGGGGGGGGGGGGGGCGCTAAATAGTGTCAATATAAAAGGATACAGGGAAGTGTGCAAAAAATAATTCTTTTCAAATAATTCAACAAGTCATTTAGGTTTTTTCGTCCCTAGAATGGATAAACCAATATAACGGTCGGACATTCATGTTTTACCTGCCAGAAATGACTTTAAAATTCACACTGTTCCACACAATCCTTCAGAGTCAAGAAATTATTGTTGTTTCCCTCACATCCAGAGTATTCAAACATTTCACATTTGCCCAGCTTAACATTATAATACCACCTCGGCAGCCTGGCACGGCATGAGCCTCGTTCTAGAGGAAGGTCACAACGTTTTCCTAAAGAGAGAACAAGTAAAAAAGTAAGTGAAAATAAATTCAGTACTGGCATGTAATGTCTGACTATGAATAACTATTCAAGATTATTTTCTCTACATTTAGCTAGCGAAAATTTCGTTCATAGCGAATATCTAGAATTTAAAAGAAATATTGAATCAGTAAACATGGTTAAAAAAATTAATATCTCAAAAAAAGTCATCGGAAAAAGAATTAATCTAGAAATCAATTAAGACAGACAGATGCAAAACAGACATGACAAAAAGTAAAAGGAAAGAGAGAGGGAAGTCTTATTTATAGAAGAACAGCAGAGTCATGTTTATAAAATAAAATTCAAAATCCTTACAGGCAAAGATGTACTACCTCCTTTTCCAACTTGATATAAAGGAGATTTAATCTTATCCTGGTAACAGAGTTTTTGTCACTTTTATGAATTCCTCCGATTAAATAAAACGGTTAATATAGCTCTATCTTAATTTAGTATACGATAAAACAATGATTTTATAGAAAAATATGTACGCCTTTACATCTTCCATATAATTGCATCCAATTAAGTTTTCTATTTACTTTCAATCACCTGACGCAGTGGTTAGAAAGTTGATCCTCATGTCGCGGGTCTAAATTCCACTGTGAGACATGGGGACCGGTTTAGTATGAAACTGTTTAATCAATGTCCCATGTTGCTGTAGGTGTTGGCACGAAAAAGATCCCTCACTGTTAATTGTGGACATTAGGGTCTAGTATAGGTCGAAATATTCAGCTATCTACCGGCAAATGATGGCATCTCCAAATGAGTTTAAAAAAAATTTCGAGAGGGAAGTTCAACACAGAAAAACAAACGAACAAACAATACTCACGATCGCAGGATATCTCGGAGCACCTTATTCCTTTGTTGTGACAAAAGCACGTATTACAGTTGTCCCCCTTGGGAAATGTTTGTCCCACGATATAGCGCTGTCCATTGTATGCACAGTCTATAAAGTTTTGTGAATAAATACAAAAGTTCATATGCTTTTGATAAGCACAATTTATTATTACACGCAAGCTCCTTAAGATTCATTTGTGATTTTTGGAATATTGCTTATGTTCGATATTTAATACACCTTACCGATTAAAATTCCTTTTCTCTTTGGAAAATAAATTTCCGTGTTTTTTAATCTTTATTAGGCACACGGCCCATGTGACGGGTCGGCAGGGGATGCTAACTCCTCCATGGCATTTGATCTCACCTCTGATGTTTCGGGGGTCCGTGATTGCTCTGCTCTTATTTTGTATTGTTTTATTGACTTTGAGACTGAATACTGTTCGTTATCTCCATATCCTTCTTGAAAAAAATAATTAAAAATGCATTGAAATTAGGCTGCCAAATACACTTATATTGAGGTTAGTACTTTTCATTGATACTTGTGGTTCCTCAAGAGATTGTGTCACAATAAGTTTTGTCTGTTGCTTGTGAACTAGAAACTCCCTTTCAGTATATAACACTTAATAAACGACAACACCGTGGAGGGTTGCAATTCAGACAAGGCCTGGATACCTTAAACAGAGAACAGACTTTAGTAAAAAAAAATTTGACTTTGATCGCTTGTTATTTATAAGACATTAGGCTACCACGAATTTGTATGGTTCTATAATACCTCATTTAAAAAATATGGTGAAAAGTGTGTCTTATCAAAAGTATTTTTAAAAGTTATATTGATTTGATTATTTGACTTGATGACAGATAATACGAACAAAAACATGGATGCCTGGTATTTGTATATATTTTTTGAGCTAATTTCATTGCAAATGATGCAAATAATAAATTTCCAAAATATAAAGAAATTGTACAGCTTCTGTAACGTTTTAAATTCTACCCTTCTGAAGCCACCTTTATTATCCTATACATTTTTCCCCTTCAATCTCCATTTTTGAAAATTATTCATTTCATTCATTAAAACATAACCCTTATTGTTATTTTTTAAAAATGACAAACGTTTGCTTGTATCATCTGTCCTTAAATTTGTCCTCAGTTGATTGTCTCTAGGCCAGAACTCTCAAAGAACTGCCTTTGAACAGTGGACCATAATTTTTCGTGCGCAGAACGAAACTTCTGTATAAAGAAATATCAATCTTTTCGCTTACCCTTTCTTTTGCAGGTTTCCTGCGTACATTCAACTTTTCCTGTAGGTAGACATCTACAAATGTTACAGTCATCAGCAGCTCTAAAGTTATACTGGGGTGTATACCAGATACCATTGTATAGACACGACACTGTAATGAGGAATAGAGCAAAATGTATCAGATATCATTATATAGACACGGTACTGCAATGAGGAATAGAACAAAATGTATCAGATACCATTGTACAGACACGACACTGCAATAAGGAATACAGTAAAATGTACCAGATACCATCGTACAGACACGACACTGCAATGAGGAATAGAGTGAAATGTATCAGATACCATTGTATAGACACGACACTGCAATGAGTAATAGAGTGAAATGTATCAAATACCATTGCATAGACACGGCACTGCAATGAGGAATAGAGTGAAATGTATCAGATACCATTGTATAGACACCACACTGCAATATGAATAGAGAGAAATGTATCAAACATCATTGTATAGACACCACACTGCAATATGAATAGAGATAAATGTATCAGATACCATTGTATGGACACGACACTGCAATATGAGTAAAGAGAAATGTATCAGATACCAATGTATAGACACCATACTGCAATGAGGAATAGAGTGAAATGTATCAGATACAATTGTATAGACACGACACTGCAATATGAAAAGAGAGAAATTTATCAGATACCATTGTATAGCCACGACACTGCAATATGAATAGAGAGAAATGTATCAGATACCATTGTATAGACACCATACTGCAATGTGGAATAGAGTGAAATGTATCAGATACAATTGTATAGACAGGACACTGCAATATGAATAGAGAGAAATGTATCAATTACCATTGTATAGACACGACACTTAATGAGAAATAGAATGAAATGTATCAGATACCATTGTCTAGACACGACACTTAATGAGGAATAGAATGAAATGTATCAGATACCATTGTCTAGACACGAGTGCAATAAGGAACAAAGATGAGTGTATCAGATGCCACTAAATGGACAAGACATTGAAAAAAGTACTTAATTAACCAATTTATAGTTCATATATTTTATTGACAGTGAAGTGACATCTTATAGTAGTCTCATTCACCTATGCACCTAAAAAATGCTCGTAGCTTTTACACGTGATCAAGGTACATTTGACTTAACCAGAAACAGTCATCTCATGTTAAATATCATTTTAGATTTTGTTTTTGATAAACTGGAACTTCCCCTGTTTACGTAATATACCCACAATATTTTCTATTTGTAAACTGGACTTGCTCCTTGTCCTAGCCTCGTTTTGAGTTCTTTATACTTACAACATTTCCTCTGGGTACACTGGACTTGCCCCCGATCACACACACATTCATTACAACCGTCCTTTGAGGGAAAAACAGATGTCTCTTCGTATTTTATTCCATTATATTTACAACCTGTAGAAAATTACATTCCATACAACGTGGTTTAAAATAGAAATTAAATACATTCTATTCTATCTGTAAGTAAAAAGAGGCTTCAAAAAGAGAAAATTCAATTAGAAATATACTGAAAGGAAAAAAGAAACGTAGGGTAGCATAATATTCGATTTTTTTTACTGCATGAACGAAAATTACGAAAATTGGTCAGATGAGAATTTTAGTTAGCTTTGCACAAAAATCAGTGTTCAGAGTTACTCAACCATAAAATGTATGACGTCACATAAGGAAAACAATAAAAGTCCCAAAACACGTGCAAATTGATGGGAAGGGGATTATTTGTCCTGCCACCTCTTTAATCGCCACTATACTACCACAAAAACCGCTATCAATAACGTAGACTATTGTTACCATTACATTCACAAGAAAACTGGAATAAAACAATGCGCAATTTGTTTTTCAGCTGTCAATTTACTTTTATGTTACTCTCATTGGCGCATGCACACGTCTTTTGACTAATTTTTGTCGAGGTTATCCATGCCCAATATAGCCAGATTTTTTAAAGATAAACACGATGAGGAATTCCGTGCAAAGGGGAATGAAGGCTGTGACAGATGCGCGGGTTAAACATGGAGGATAATGAGAGTTTTCGTTTTTCACTTTTTTTTTGGGGGGGGGGGTATTGTCATATGGGTTCCAATAATTCATGAATAATAAGTCAATACCAAGTGGGATTTTAGTTATGTCTTTGAAGAAAATTTTTAAAGTTAGAAAGAAATACTGAAAAAAAAATCACCTCAAAAGTTTACCCAGCGTTTCTCTTTTCCTTTCAGTATATATCACAAGAAGATTAAAAACTCAGACAGTTACTGAATTAAAATCAAGTCCGACTATATCCTAGGTTATTATAAAATTGAAAGATTATGTGAAGCTTTAACTCTCCCCTCCTCGATGATTATCTTTCTTTATAATCTTCAAACATGATTAGACCATTAATAAAACACTATTGCAATGTATGACGCAAATGATGAAATACTTATTCAAAGAAATGTGTCGCACATGTTTGATTAACATGTATCTAAACATTGACAGATGAGCGTTGCTAAATTATTGTAATGTAAAAGATAAAATTAACTAATCTAAATTTGCATTAAAATTCATTTTATGACTTTAGGAAAGCGTTAATCACGAATAAAAAAGAAAATTCTCCTCACTTGCACGCTAAAAAAGGTTTCCTCTCATGTTTTTCTGTTCACTTGTATTATAACACTCCAATAAAATTTCCGCTTTCATGTTGATATCGAATTTGCATAAAAAAAAACTTCCCACCATATGACATAGTGAAAGAAAAAGTTTGCTTAAATTTCAATCGTATGCATCAACGACGGAAAATTATCAGGGACAGATGCATAAAAAACCATCTTTGATGCATAGTTCCTCTAAGAACTGTGACTTAAGTTAATTTAAAACAGTTGAGCTGTTTGGGTGATGATTCCTTTTATAATTGTCAGAGTTGATCCGATTGGGTGATTATAAACAAGGACAATCAAGTCAAGAGTCAAACACTATTTTATCCCTACCTTAAATTTCCTTTGGATCAGGGTATACTTACAATTTTTTTCCTTTTTTTGGAAATGATTGAAATTCATTTTTGTTGATTATACAGATAAATGGATTCAAATTTACGAGGGTCGTTGGAAAAGTTCGCGGACACATTGAATTACGGAAAATCTGTTGTGTACTGTGAAGTATGACCTATGTCAGAATAAATTTCTACATTTTGTTTATTGGTATGTAAAAAATCAGGTCCATATAATAAAATCCTGAAAATTTGCAACGATTTTTACTATGAGATCATGGGATTCACGGAGCAATCACTTGACGTAAGGCGACATGACAACCAGATTTCAACCCGTTAAGCTTTGCCGCCGTTCAATAAATTTTTCATTTATCCAGATTTTTCTGATCTTTTTTCTACTTTAAAATTGAATATTTATATCAATACATGTTATATTTCTTCTATAATGTATTTTGTACTGATTTGGATATTATTGAGATCTTTAAAAATGTGTATGCAGTTAATCGAACAGGTATGGAAACTATGCAAAACCATATGGGCGCAACACAACGTCCATGCGATATGGGGGTATTGAAGTATCGATGGAGTTAATAATTCAAAATGTAAATCTTTCCATTCTTTTGAAGCTACAATCATTTGAAAACTTGTCCTTTGTAGGTGTAGGAAATTCCCGGCAGCATTTTGAACATTTTAATCTCTTTTTAGACATTTTCCGGTCTGCATACATAATTTATATGTAGTGCAGTGCTCCATGACGCTCAATGACGTCAATGACGATTTTTGGCTGTGATTTTACGGGTTTATCATTCTTAAACGGCTATAAAACAGTCAAATACCCTCCAATTTAGTTCAAAATTTCTCCCAGTGACGTTTCATGAATACTTTAGCGGCAGGTAAAATATCATAAATCTCTTTGCGCTACAATTGTGCAATTTTTAATTTTGATAAAAAGTCTTTGTGATGTAAACGTGCCAAAATGTAGCATGCTCTGTGAAGCAAGTTTTATCAAAATAAAAAAGCTGTACATTTTTCAATAATCACCGGAGAGCACAAAATTCTTGTATATTTATTGGGAAAAAGGCGAAGATTTTATTTGGAAAGTTTGACCAGTTTCGTGGAAATGGCGCGCTCACAATAGAACTTGTCCGCGAACTTTTCTAACACCCCTCGTATACTTTATAATGACAGAGCTCTCTTTTACTTAAGCCAGCGTTGTTTTGAATAATTTGTGATTATAAACGCTTTAATTACCAAATAGATTGTTTAAATATATATTTGGACTATACTGGAACACATTATGCAATTATTACTGTTTTAAGGTAAATAAAACGATTTAGCAACGATGATTAAGTTGGTTTTGAGTGAAATGGTTTTCCAAAGCTATTGTCTCAATTTGGTAATTAATCAATTTTTACAACAATGCAGAGGAAATAAATCCTAATATTCACCTTGAGCATCACTTAGTATTTTTCCACATTGTTGGACGTCAGCCAATCAGAGAGACAGAAAATATTAAATCACATAATAAATAAATGTATTACCGTGTGGTACGTTAATGGCCTCCATACATCGTCTTTCACGTCCGCAGCCATACATACAACACTTCTGATCTAACAAGTTTTAAGGATATTTGTTATTACATTAAAAAAATAATTCAGATTTACATTCAATGATATAGACTCTTATTTTGATTTTCAATTACTTGCAGTCCGTAGAAGAGGGCTGCTCAATACATTTAAGTTAAAGTTTTGGTTTTTGGGTTGGGCATTCGCCGCAAAATGATTCAGAATTAAAGTTTTAGTATACATTAAAAGATATTATACTGTATACATAAGAATTTTGTTTTCCGTTGTTAAATTATAAAAAACACAATACACAATATATTTACTTCCATGGAATGCATCTTTTCTTTATGTTTTTCATATTTTATTCATAAAGTTGATTTTTAATGGATTTCATACGTTTTCAAAATTTTATATAGATATGTTGATAAGAACGTACGTCCAAGGCAGTCATAGTCACTGAAACAAAACGTAAACCACAATTCATTGAAACACGGTCTTTTTAGAGCACTTCTAGGGCATTCTCCGACCTAGACAAATGATAAAAAAAAAATAAAGATAAAAAATCAATATTCGGGCTTAAATATCCATTAAAAAGGAGCAGAGCAAATGAAGACCTCCAAAACATCGTATAAAGGATCGGGTGCCACGGAGGGGTGAGCATCCCTTGCCACCAATTCATATATAATATTTCTAAAATATATGTTTATGTAAATTTTTTGTTGGAGATGTTCCTATAAGCTAAAAAAATCTTTTAAATACTGAAGAGAACTTCCAAGAAAACAAGTTATTCTTGAAATCTTGTATTGTCTTTTTTTATTGTCGTTCCATCACCGACTGTGACCTAGGATTTTACGGTCTCATCCAAAGGACCGTTAACCAGGTCTCACAGTGGCACAGCGAGTATAAATAAAAAGGCAATTAGCTATATTTTCTTATATGTGTAAATCGATCAATATATATATATATATTCTTATTTATCTTATAAAAACCTATGTTTTATAGAAATTCATTTACTAAAAAACGAAATACTTTCTGAAAGTCTGCTTAGCTTTCAACGTACTCGAATTTTGATGATAAAGGGTGTAGTAAAATGATAGCATCTTTAGCATAGAATAAAGGAGCTAAATCTTTGATTGTCCATTTTAAAAATAATATTTGCTTATCCCTCTCCCAACTCACGGTAAAATTATGGGGTCAGTATTTAGGTGGGATTTTTTTTTCAGAAAACTTCGTATTTGTTATCGGATAAGAGGAATAAAAAGAAAAAAAACATTGTGTCCTGGAACGTCTGAAAATAAATTTTTGGGCGCTGCAATTTTTTATTCAGTTTGTCAGGAGAGGACAACCAAACAAATGTTTTTAAGATAGCCCAATATTTTTTTTTAATCCAACGCGAGTTTAATCATTATCTTTATTAACCATTTAGAATATAGATTTTGTTGGGTAGGAAAAATTGAAGAGACCTTTGTTTACCTTGTCAAAACGGAAATCGTTTCTTGTAACGGCAGATTGAGATAAGATGGAAGGTACCTGCAATTACAAATGGTACACATAATTACTATATATCTGATCAAATATATTTATATCTAATGGATTCGGGTATTTGTGTATTAGATGTGCTAAAATCTTCAATAAGATAATATATAATATTCCTGCTAAAAATGATAAGTCGTCCTAATGATATATTCTTGTACCCATCGTTAAAAAAGCGGAAGGGTACATGTATGTATTGATCAATATCTCCGTTTGTCTCACTGTCAGTCCGCCCCTTATGCTTTATAGCACCCATTCTCTTTTTCGCAATTTCTCCTGAATGGAATTTCAAATTATCGTTACGCAGTGCCATTGAGACCTTCTTTTTGACGTTTAATCGAAAAGAAAAGAATTCGGGTTTTCCACAGCAAAAGATTGACAGTGCCATTTGTTGTATAATGTTGAAGGGCGTTGAACTCCGCAACTACTCCTATACCATTGAATACAATTTTATAATATTTTTACAAATTCTTTATTATATAAAGCTATTGTGTACCCCCTATTTTGATTTTTGATCTGACGCTTATTTCTGGTCTCTAAGGGCAAAACATGGACTTTGTATTTATAATCATATGGGGCACGGGAGAATTATATAGTAAGCTACGTGCTCACATTAATTTATGACCGTCACATTGGTTCTCTCAGAGTGAAACGTATGGAGAGACTGGAGAGTATTCAAGATAAAAGGTCAATAAAAGAATAAAAAAACAGGAGCAGAGGAAACACGGACCTCCAAAACATCAAAGGCGGGATCAGGTGCCAATGTAGGAGAAAATGGACATTTGCGCTTCAATCATTACTAAATTTTTATACCCCCCGCTCGAAAAGCGGGAGGATATATAGTAATCGGTATGTCTGTACGTCAGTCCTCCTGTCTGTTACGCTTTTGGGTACCCATCTCTTATCTACAACTCCCCCATACTACTGAATAAAAAAATGATGAAACTTTAACAGAATCTTTATTACATATTGCCATTGTGCACCTCCTACTAGTATTTTACTTTTTGATATGACACATATTTTTATCCACAGTTTTCATTAAAAATACCCCGAAGTTTCTGATTTATAATGTAAACATATTTATTTTCAGAAGATGAATACTGTGTGCCGTTTCTTTCATTAATTGTACAGCATGTTTTTACACACAGGGTTGTCTATACATCTTCCCATTTGCCTAACGGGACAAAGTGCACACAGAAATGTTTACTCTGAAAAAAAACGCATCTATAGAAATTATCTACCTATACCTATGTATTCAGATTCTAGATGTTTGGCAACAGACACAACATGCCTATAAATACCTTCTCCGTAAATCGTAACAATCCCACGTTTACCAGTGAATAGCTCGTGGACATCATCATATTCCACTTGTTTAAATATAAACTTACTCAAAAATTAGGGACCATCACTATTTTATGAAAATTCTTTAAATATTTCATTAACTCAGACCTATACAAAAAATATTTATATTTTCAGTTCATATTCAAGTAGATCTTTACTTTCCTTAGTCAATGCTTGTTTCGGTTTCATCTGATAACTTATCTGTTTTATACAATTGATAATTTCCCATAGAAAGGAATACGTGTAAAAATGTAGAATTTAAAGTTTCACTTTAATCTGTTGTCGACAAATGATGCTAGAAATAAGCATGTTTAACTTTACAGACATTTAAAGAGTAATCAATTTTCAACATTTTATAAGCATGGATTTTAAATAATGTGTATCTACCACGACTTCTGTACAGTTCTCATATTGTGGACAAGTCGTCGTAGGCAGTTTCGGGGAACTGTCTCCTTTCCTAAATTTTTTTAATTACTGTATGTTTTCACATTTTCGGGTCTACAACCAAGATAATCCCTCACATGTTCAATTGGAATCATATGTGGGAACATGGCTGGCCAAGGCCTGGTTTCAATAGCTTCTTGGAGTATAGTCTTGAACTATTCGGCCTCGATAATGATATTTTCCCGCGTTTCGCTAGTATAGCAGGAAAATGTTGTATTAATGACATGATGTTTATACGCATGTTGTGTGGATTGATGAGAGAGTGACCAATAGAAATTGATTTTGTGGTGTAGTAGAGAACTGGTATTTAAAGGTTTGTCACTTCTAGCTGCCGACTTAAGCGCGCAACAGCTTAATTATGGACGCCGGGAAAGTTCAACAGCAAATAAATAAGTCAATTCAACAGGCCAACAATGAGATATTGAGTCAGTTTTCGAGTATTTTGGACAGTAGACTTTCGATAGTTCAGAAAAGTATAAATGAAAATAAAAAAAAAAAATCGCCGAGCGGCAAGAAGCGAAGTTCGAGCAAGTTTTCACAGATAATTATAAATTCAAAAAGCGCGGTAATGAAGAACAGTATAAGCACAATGTTAAACTTATGGCAAACCTGAAGGAGGCAAACGACGAACTGGAAGAGAACTGAATTCAAGGAGTGAGACAAAAGATAACAGAAGGTTATGACTTGATTAAACAGAGACAAAAACTAGTTAAGTTAGCAAATTTGTCATCGGCCGGTTGGAGAGCGGTAGATGAATATGTAAAGAACCCAAAATCTTCGGACTCAGATGATGAAAAAAAGAATTTCCAAGGCACAAACGAGAGCAGAAGGAAAACTCAAGGACGAACGTATAAAACGCCGAAGGGATATGCGAGAGAAGTAGAGGCCTTACCCTTCTATCAACGCTACAGAAGGCAGTACTTCAATCTCTACTAAGGCCGATGTGTGGAGATCGGGCCAGTGCTACAGGTGACATAAGAAGGGACACTGGAGAAAGAATTGTACATAAAAAATAGATGAAAAAATAAGAAGTTTTGTATTTGAATGTTTTGACACAAAGCAGTCATGCGAGACTAACACAGGCAGGTAGACTGAGAGAAAATTTATGTCAATGGCGTTCGATTGAAGGGAACAGGTATGTCTTAAGAGTAATTGAATTTGGTTACAATTCCGAGTTCTATAGAACTTAAGAATAACAAATCTGCATTGGAAAATGCCAATTTTGTAACAAATTAAATAAAAAAGCTGGTAAAAAAGGGCTGTGTTCGACAGGTTATGGACAAACCTAAAGTAGTGAATCCATTGACTGTAGCAGATAATAAACAAAAACAAAGGTTGGTTTTAGATGCTAGGCATGTCAATCCACATTTATTTAAATATAAACACAAGTATGATGACGCAAGTACATCACGTGAACTTTTTCAAGAGGGTAATTACATTTTTTCATTTGATTTGAAAAGTGCATATCATCATATTATGATAAATGAGTTAGACAGAGAGTATTTAGGTTTTAAATGGGAAAACAAATTCTATGTGTTTAACGTCTTCCCATTTGGCATTAGCACTGCTGGATATATTTTCACAAAGGTTTTGCGAGAAGTAGTTAAATTTTGGAGGTCGAGGGGCTATAGAATCGTTATGAATTTAGATGACGGCATAAGTGGCGCTGAAACTTTAGATCACGCTAGAATTGTTAGTGAAAAAATTCAAGCCGATTTAAATGCATTAGGTTTTTAGTGGCTGATGAAAAGTGTCAGTGGGAATCAGTCAAGAAATAATTTGGCTAGGTTTTGTTTGGAACACAAAATGTGATAGAATATCAGTCTCAAATTCTAGGATAAATAAACTTAAAGGAAATGTTCAAAATATTTTGGAAGACATCAAAGCCGGATACGAATGGTTTTAAGTGAGATTCATTGCATCAGTTGTCGGTCAGATCATTTCAGCACAAACTGTGTTTGGAGATGCAGTTAGGCTACGAACCAGGTATATGTATTATTGCATTTTAATAATATCCAGTTGGAATTCTTATATTATGTTGAGAAAGGAAGCTGTGGAGGAATTTCAGTTTTGGTTACAAAATGTGGAAAGCATGAATGAGAAGGGCGCTCCGTTGAGTAAGGTAAGGGACATAGATGTCAGACAAATTGAAGTATTCTGTGATGCTTCAGATTCTGGATATGCACGGGTATTTTAAGTAAGCATATAAGTAATTTCTCGGGAAATGTAGACTTTTTGAAGAAAATTTAGTTTAATAAATTACCAAAACGACTGATAAACGTAAACTGTTATTTACTATTGCATGCAGATAAAAACTTGTCTAACGCAAAGACGTGCATCACCGCCACAGCATCATTTGACTTCTATTAATAGCAAAAGTTTCCTTAATAAAAAGGCTTACAGAACAACAATACCCCGGAGTTTGATAATTTCTTTTGAGTATGTAATATACTGTAGATCACTAAATTTTCGCGACACCTTATTTTCGCGAGATTGTCATTGACCCTTGATAAGCGAGACAAAATTTTCACGAATTCTGATCATTGCTCTATATAATCTTAAGGAATACTATTATACGCGAGAATTTAATTTTCGCGAGTACACTGTCTCGCGTAATTACGCGAAAATAAAGTTCTCGCGAATAAAAAGTGATTTACAGTAGCTGAAAAACATCTATTTTGTCTAAAAAGTGCTGCTAGAATCCCACTATCTTGTCCGTCAAATATTTGTTCCACACATTCGCACGAAACCTTGCCCTTTGTTCTGAATTTTATACATATGAATCGATATTTTTCGTACAACAATGCTTAACTCAGGATTCTAGCAGCACTCTCGAAGTTTGTCAAAACGCAAATTTTCAGTCTGTACAAATCGTATGTTTTGAAATATCCAGTTTATTGTTGTTCTGTTGCATTTTTTGATCAAGAATGACGGACGATAGGCCGACCGGGATACGTAATATAGCTGAATGTCTTCGAAAGAGAATATAATCGATGAAAATAATTACCATATCTGTTTACTTAATTAAACTCCATATGAATTTAACACAATTTTCCCGATATTTCCTTTTATACTCCATTTTACGTATCTTCGAACATGCCGTCTTAGCCAAATTCTCTTACACGACATGATCAATTTCCAAGTTACTTGCTGTACACATATGACGTCATCGGTGATAGATTTCAATCATAATGACTGTTACAATATAACAA